TTGCCCACTGTGTACAGAGCCATGGGAGGTCCTGGGGAGGGGATTGTCCACTTTTTGCAGAGTTCTCAGACTTATTGTCAGGGATGGTTTTGAGCGGCCCAAGGCAGAGGCCTCCTCATCCCTGTCCTGACCGTAGGATGATGTCACACCTATATACTTCACTAACTTGTCCCCTGGAAAAAATTTCTTATTGGGGCCAAAGTATCACTCAGCAATTATGACAAGGTAGTGGTGAATGATCAACCCACAGCAGACAATGGTCTAAGCTTGACCTTCCCTGACTCACCAACGTGGTGACTTCCCAGCACACCTCCGAAGCTGATGGAGGGGCCTCATCCTATTCCCTGGCTGCAGCTAAGGGGATGACATCATCCAGACTCTTATACGTAGGATGGGCAAGGGGCACTGCACAGGTAGGTCCCACAGTGGCAAATCATATGGAAATTCATTCATTTGTCCTTTCATTTCTTTGTCAAATAGAATAGAATTAATCAAATGGGCAGGACTTGATGAGGTTTAACCAGGAAAATGCAGTTGTTGCTTCTTTCTTTTGTTTCCTCCCATCATTGCCCTTTCGACCTGCCCTGCCAGAGCTTTTTATTCTGGTCAACATCCAAGCAGCCCCAAGACTATGCAGTCCCTTTCAGGTATTACTGGACTGTTGCAGTAGCAAAAAAGCTCAGTCCAGTATACATTTAAAATTGTTTCCCACAAAATCCCAAACTATTTCCCTTTCTGCCCAGCTTAGGCCTCAATCAATCAAAAAGACTGCACAGCCTGTCCTACATCGTTGCTTTGTCTCTTGCCTTTCCTGAGCTGCTCTGGCTCCCAAGGTATGGTGGAGTGTAGGGGAAGCATGAAAATAAGTCAAAATATATTTTTCCTTAGCTGTGGCTGTTGTAACCAAGCCATGGGTGTTCTCTGACTACAAATGCTGGGATACTGGGCCTATCTTCTGCAAGGCACTTTAGTGGGCCCAGGTCCTGTGTCCTGCAATTCTGGCCTTGGGGAGAGAGCCTTCTCTGGTGGACTCAGGATCCCCTTGCAGCTCCAGTGCCAATAGTATATTGTGCAGGGCCATTGAATGCCAGATTCTCCTCACCCTGGCTCCAGTCCCATCAAGAAGACCCAAGCTCAGCTACCATCCTCAGAGCCCACACAGCCCATGGGAAGACATATGTTGTCCCAGAAGGTCCAGAAGTGTCAGCCAGAACAGTTCATGGAGACCCTGAAGTTCAGTGAGGAAGGGAGACTTTGGGTTCAGCTCCTGACCAGTTCTCCCCCTTACTTGTCCCCACTGTCGGGGAGGCAGCCGGTGCTCTACCCCAAGGAGACGAAAAGAAACATAAATGCACAAAACTTCTTACTAGAAATTCGTTACAACCCACCCCAGACTGCATTTCCATCTGTGTCTGTTGTTTTGGCCAACTTTTGAGAAGTCCTTTGAGGATGGTGAACTGCATCTCTTTCTGGAAGATGTGGCCATTTGTCACACCTCTCAGCTTTGTGCACCAGAAAAATTCTCAAGAAATGGGAAAATTCTAAGCTAACTTTCTGTCATTCAGTCATTCATAATTTTATTCAACAAATACTTATACTGTGCCCAGGAACCATGCCATAGTACACCCCGTAAAAGACAAAACTGATGTGAACTCTTCCCTCTTTTACGTGAGCAGGGGATTCCACAGAGTTCTAGTTCCTTCATGACCTTCAAGACATCAAATTAGAGAGGGCAACAGCCTATCAACTGGCTCACAGCTATTCTGCCCTAGTGCATGGCTACAAAGACAGGGGTCGTTTCATACTCGTAGTTATAGTCTCAAGTGCTCAAGATCCTAAAGTGCTGTCGAGTCCTCTCTGATAATCTAACCATCAGAATTATTTTAGTGTTAAGTATATTTTGAGGCTACCTGGTTCTTTAGCAAGTACAAACTTAATTATGCTTCTATTTTAATACTAAACAGACTCATGTGGTAAGATAGAGAATGTTCTCTATCATCAGAATTCCTGCTAGGTCATATGTCATTATGTGGCCAGGCTGGATTCAGAAATTTACTGGTTTATTTGTAAATTAGATTGTGATTACATGATGTTTTTATATACTCATTTGTGTGTGTACTTTTTCTATTTATTTTTTGTCATTTTCTTTTATTAGATGGAATTTTCCTAATATTTTTTCCTTTATCCAAAAAAGTGCCCAATTTTCTGGCCTCCATGGGTAACTCATTGAAATGGTCAATTTAACTAGATTTATAAATGTAAAGATCTGTTTTTTAAGACCCAGCTCCTGTTCTTGGCACTGTTAGTCATAAACATTCAGCTCAGAATGCCTGCCTTGTTCTTGAAGCTGGAGTCTATGTATTTTGGTTTTGTGGAAATTTTGTTTTTCATCTAATTAAACCTTAACATAAATGAAAAGTTTTGATCTTGTGCAGGAAAAACACCAGAAAATCTTTATTATTGCCAAACATTATATTTATAAAGTCTTATATTCTAACCTCAGTTCCCTGATGTAATACATAAATCTCATTAACTATAAATATGATTTTTCAAGAGCAAAGAACTTCTCTCTTTATTATGTCTAATTTGCATACCAGCACATAGTCTGAGTGTTGGCAGGTAATATTTTAAAGGGCATCAAAGTATAAGAATAACTATGAATTTACAGACGTGTGGTGAAATATACCCTGTTAATCAGTTACTATTTGAAAGGTAGCAAACTAGGCATCTAGCAAAACATGTGCTCCCTCAGAGACAGTGAAAAGCCATTTTACAGCCAAGAGGTATTGCCCTCACTTTTGAGGAATGTCAGGCTAGTGCATTTGATTACACAAAAGATCCTCACAAGGAGGCTTGGCTGTTGATTGGCCATACTCATGGTGAATGACAGCAATGACACTCCCAAAGGCTGGCACTTGGTGGCAGAGGAGGTAGGGCTTATTGGGAGCCTTCCTGGCAGGTTCATACATCAGTCCTACACAGACAGCCCGAGGCTCCTGTTGCAAACCGTGCTTTCCCTTCTGCAACACTTGTCCTTCCTCCCTCTCTTCCTCTCTGGCTGGATTTCTAGGCCGGGGAGGGGTGTCCCCCTTTCCCTCCCCAAACCCAGAAGTAAAAATCCAACACTCACCCATTAACCACCTACCCCACCAGCCGTGGGGAGAGCATCAAAACACAGAGCTCACATTAGAATCCAATCAGACTGAGTTTCCAGAGGCTTCTGTTCTCACATTGGTGATGGATAAGCAAAGAAGATGATGAGGAGAGGAAGGAAGGAAACAGCCAAAGCCCAGCTCAGCTGGGAAGAAATTGCAGGAGAACCCTGCAGGTGCTTGCGTTTAGGCCAGCACGGTGGGGGCCATTCTTCGACATCACTAAGCCCAGAGGCAAAGGTGGGGTCTCAGACTGAAGACCCTGAGGCTCAGCCCTCGAGCAGCTTCCTTCTGGCAGGAGCTTTGCACCTAAGGAGTGTCTAGAAGTAGGATGCTCTCTCTGTAACAGAAATTGGGCAGCAGGCAGAAATTTACATATGGTCAAGTAATGTCTTGCTTTCAAGCTTGGCCTCTGTTGGTCCAGTACAGGGTACAAAGCAGTGCAGTGGGGATTTACATGGCTATGAAGCACCAGGGGCAGAGGGGAGGTGTATTTTCTCTCTTTTGGAGGAATAATGGACTTTCTTTCTCTCTCTCTTTCTGTCCTTTGGTGGAGGGAAGGGGAGAAAGAAGAAAGGGGAGACGGAGGAAGACCTGCCCCTCTGCCTGGAGACCTTGCGTGGCCATGGCCTGGGCTTCCTTGGCTATCAAATGAGACGACACTCCCTCACCTTCTCCCTGTAGTAGCGTGAGAAGCAGGATCCAAACAAGATAACCCGAGAAAGAAGCGTGCAGGAAACTGTGAATCACTGCCTTACTGGGAGTGCTTCCGCACACGAGAATAGAAACCCAATCAAACAAGCAAAAAAGGGGACACTGAGTAGGATGAGGACTGGGTACTCTCAGAAACCGTGGCGGGTCATGAAGCTGAATCAGAGGGGAGGCCTGGGAAGCTGGGTCTTCAGCAGCTCACTGCTGGGGGCGCCTTTCTGCCTGTCCACCTGCTTTCATTTCTCCCCCTCGCCCTCCCCACTCCACGTTTGCCCTCACAGCTTACGCAGCGCGGCCGCCGCCCTGCAAGCCCAGAGCCCGGTTTTGTTGAGTCCTCTTTCGCTGGGTGTGGGCTGCGAGTCGGTGAGTCACGAGCCTGGGCAGAGGTCAAAGGACAAACTCCACCATCCCTTGTTCGGCCCGTGGATGAGAGCGGGGCCAGTACCGAGACTGTGCCTTCCACAGCGTCCTCGTGGTATGATCGCATTGCCCGTGGAAGGGCGGGGCTGGGATTGGCGGGCTCCTTCTGGCTCCCATCTGGCAGTTTTCCGTGAGTGCCCTCACGTGGCTGGGGTGCTGTGGCTGGGCAGAGCAGCCGGGCAAGGTGAGCAAAAGTGGGGACAGAGGACCCTGAAGCTTCCCGGCAACCCCTCGTACCTGCGCAATGGGGAACACGCTGCTCTGCCTGCGCCAGGCCCCTGCTGCACTTCTCACCAGTGCATGGGGCTGCAAGTCATCGAGGCCCGTTTCAAGCAGACTTAACCCAAAGGCTGGTGCTTCTGGCCCTGCATTTCTGCCTCCCTCCATACTTGCTGTCCTGCTGCCCCTTTGGCCATCCCAGTGGCTGCAGTGATCATCCCTGAAAGGACGGGCTGAGGAGGGCTTGCTGAACCTGCCCCCCTCTCCCCCGCCTTGGCTGTGGCCTGCGATTACCCTTTCTCCTCCCACCTTCAGAGCTGTGAGAGCCTGAGCAGGTGTAGGGAGCGATTTTGTCCCTTTTGAGTGAACCTCATTATCTGGTGAGGCTCCAGCCCCTCTGTGCAGCTGGCAGCTCCTCCAAGCCCTGAGCAGCTTTCCCGAGAGCAGTGCCGGCCCATCTGGGGTCCAAACAGGCTTGTCCTTTGCGTCTCTCTCCGGGAGAGCAAGCTTTTCCAGTGACGTACAAATAATCAGATGCCTTGGACGGACTGTGATGGGCTAACGGAGCAACTCTGCCAGGCTGGCAAGGAAGTGAAGAGACAACTCCAAGCCTAGGACGCCGCCCGGATCAGGCTCAGTTGTGCGCCTTCCTTCATCCCCTCATCCGCCTCCCCTGCTGTGGAGTGCAGGTGGCTGGGGATGTCACTGGGAGCAGGAGACCTGTTCCCTGCTCTGTGGAAGACGCTAGTCAGGACAGGGACAGGTGGATGAGTGGAGGGGGGTGCAGAACATGCAGCCTGTCCCTTGCCCAGGACTTAACTGGGCCAACACATCCCTGCAGGATCAACCCTTACAAAGCCAGAGAGGTAAGGAGTACATGCTGATTATTTAATGACAGTAACTAGCCTCGGTCCCAGCAGTTTCCTTGTGTTAATTCATTTCATCCCCACAGTGCTATGAGGCGGATCATGTGGTTAGTTTCCTGTTACCACTGAGGACACTGAGGCACAGATGGGTTAAACAGCAGTCCAAGGTCACACGGCAAGTAAGTAGCAAATCCTGGGCTCAAACCCACAAAGTCTCTACATAAACTTCCTCGCAGGCATCTGCCTATCGCGATGGGAACCAAACACTGCAGACAGGAAGGATCAGTCTGTGTTCTGTGTACCCGTGAAAATTTTCATGATTAAAAGATACCGCTGGGGGAAGGAATGTGTTGAACGTCTAACCACTAGAAAGGGAAGCTCTAGGGACTAAAACTGTCCCGAGTACCCAAAGCCCAACGGTCAGTTTGCAATTCTATGGGGTTCCCTCAAGAGTGCTGTTCCTCATGACCCTTATGGTGAAGGGGCTGGGCCAAAGCTGGGGTGTTATTGCAGCCATGTGATCGGGTAGGGGTGCTGGAAATGGACAAAGGTGCGAAGTATTCCACAGCTGCTCACCCTGGCATTTACTGTGGCTTTAAAATCTGTGAACATATGGTAACTGCGGGAAGCAAAGAATCACAGTTGGAAACATGTACACTTAAGGGGGAGCCAGCCGCGCTTACACTCCCCACTTTGCCTCTCTGCAAAATGCCTCTGTCCTGCTGGCCTTCTGTGCTCCAGAATCTGAAGAAAGCCCAGGACAAAGTGTCCCTCTACTTCCACCTGTCCCCCATCCACCCGCACCAGGAGCTTCCCCCTCTAGTAACAGAGGGAGGATTTTGGCTCGTGACGATGATGTTTTTAAGTGCTGTACCCTTCTACGGTTTTGGTTGGATCTTGGTAAGTCCCAGCACCTTATTCTGTGGTGCTGATGGAGAGCCGGAGCACTGGGAAGACATATTGTCTGGGATCCATGGTGGTCTCTGGAAATTCAGGCCAGGGCTGCGTTTCCTGCCAGCGATTCTGCCTGCATGGTCTTCTAGCAAAGCTGCATCTTCTTCCTCTTTTCTGGCAGCTCTGGGCCATCCCCAGGGTGAGGCCCACTCCTGAGTCTATTCCAGGGCTGACTTCTACATGCCTTAACTTCCCCTGTGTGTGCTTTGTCTGGCTTCTAAGTTGTGAGGCTCTGAAGGCTCAGGGCCCCACTCTCTTCCCGGCCCCACCCCCTCCATCAGCAAGCGCTGGCTGGGCATCCACTTCAGCTGCCAAGCACGACGGCTTTGATTAGGAAGGAGTCAGCTGCTTCTCAGAGATATCCTTGTGTCCTGAATCCTCTCCGGTCCTACCCCAGTTGAATTAGGAACTTGGGATGCTTCTAGAATGGAAGTCAGGCTCACCCTTCTCAGAGTGAGAGAGACCTGGAGGTCGGGTGCATGGCTGAGCTGCTTTTTCATATAACGAAGTTTTTCTTGTAACAAGTGCGCCTAGAAGGACCAGTCCAGGCAGCAACTTCTTGTTTAAACATCTCTCCAGGCATGGCAGGCAGGGTGCTGGTTTCCTATCTGATGGCCACCCTGGCTTCTTTCTGAGTAAGAGACCCAAGGTTATTCTAGTTGGCACACATCAGTGAAAAGCCTGTTTCCCAGCCTCTCTTGCAAAAGACGAAAGTGGAAGTTAGTGACCGAAACTTCTAGGAAAGCCTTGTTTGCCATTCCATCCTTCTTGCCTCCTGTTGTTTGGGATGTGGATGTGATGGTTGGAGCCGCAACAGACCTATGGAAGCTATGAAAACACAAAGACTCAAGAATCACAAAGACTCAGCCCCAATTTTCTTGAGCCGCTGAACTGAGGCCAGTAATTACCCATGTTGCATTTCTCATGACTTGACAAACATAAACCCTACATGTTTAAGCTGCCATAGGTGGTTCTCTGTTACTGGCGACTGAAAGCATTTCTAGCTGATCTACTGCATTAGAGAAAGGGTATTTGGGTGTAACTCAAAGGCTTAGTTACAGAACATGAGCTCTCAGAAAGCCACAGTTCTCATAAATACTTCCTTTTGACAAGCCCTCGAGCCAGTCTTCTCGGAGTTAAGTGAGATTCTCTCGGTGTTCCCAAATTTAACTTCTCCAGTGAAAGTGAAACACGAAAGCCACCAGGCTCCCTCCCTGGAAGCAGTTTGGGAAAGCAAGTCATCATCTGTCTCTGTGTGCTCACCTGCAAATGTATGGCTGTGCCATGCTGCTTGCTTTTTGTAAGCCTGAGTGAAGCCCAGTGCTCACATGTTCCCAGTTTAGCCTCTGAGACACTATGATGCTGGGCTCCTCCACCTTGGCCCACGGCTGCCAACAAGTCACTGCTTTCTGACACTTTAGGCGTTTTTCAGTCTGCATTCTCCTCATCCCCAGCTGTGCTGAGGCTACACTGCAAGGATTTGTAGAGAGGTAGCAGCTGCTGTGTCTTACCAAGGCCTTAACGGGTCCACAGGTTTCCCTGAGCTTGTGGTGAATGGGCAGGGTGCCCCCAGCAGCCCCTTTTAAAGACCCTGGTGCGTAAGGATGCGGTGGGCAGCTAGTGTGCTGGGGCGGGGCGCAGCATCCCGTCCCATCTCCTTGCTCCTTCACACCTGGGCAGGTGAGAGACAGGGCACCAGGAGGAAGAGCCCTGGAGCAGATGAATTCCACCCTCAAAGTCTGACACTCCTTCCCTGTGGCTGCCACCGCCAGGCACCTGAGTCTCTTAGGTTACCCTCTCCCTGCCTCTCTTCTCTTCTTGGGCTGGCTCTGTAAGAAATGTGCAAGTTCACAACAACAGCACTAAAAGGGGCCTAAGAGACGCTCATCTCAGTTTCTAATTTGTTGCTTGAGTATATTGAGGTCCATGGCAAACTGCAGGCCTGGCTCAGGGCATAACGCTAGTTGGGGGCCTACTTTTGAGCCTACTGGACCCTAGACCAGCAGGTTGGATACCATAATCTCTAATCTACTAAACTAATTCTTCCATAGCATTTTCTGTGTGGGAGATGCCATCCTATGATATCCACCTATCTAATCTTTCCCATTTTATACATGAAAAATATAAAACATAAAGAAGTTAAGCAACTTTCCCAAGTCACAGGTAGTAGGTGGCAGAGTTGGGATTTGAGCACTCATTTGGAAGAGAATCCAAATGATCTGACTCTGTTCTCGACTACTGATATTCTATACTCTATTGTTGACTATTCCCTTCAGGTCCCAAAAGGAGCTCTCTAATAAACTCTTCAATCAGAAGAATCCTGGATCAACATCTTACCTTTGGTGGAGCATTTGGCAAAATATGACAGCAACAGGTGTTAAACTAACCAAAACAAAACAAAGATAGATTGTACAGTTAAATAAATTTGAATGTATTAAACCAAATTGAATGGGTTTTTTACTTCAGAATTTCTCAGAACCTGTAATATGCTAATAGACATTGTGAGTTTTCAGAGTCAAAAAGCATTTCCCCATCTTTCTGGACACTAGAACCCATTTTGATGCAATGATGTCATCACGCATCATGCAGTCTCTGGAAAACCCAATTGGTAAAAAAAGGTAATTATGTCTTTTTTTTTTTTGGAAATAAAATATTTTACTCATACACACAAATACACATACTGAAGCCACCCTAGGAGCTTGTGGAAAAAAAAAAAAAAAGACATTTTTAGATTCATCTCTTTCCCAGAGTCTTGCAGGTTGGGGTTTCCTGAAGAGGCTGACCCTAGGGCTCTAGCACAGCCCTGCCCTGCACCTCTACCATTTCCACAGAAAGCGTCCCAGAGGCTGCTGTGAGCTTCCTTGGAGCCAGGGAAGCACCACTGCGGGAAAGAGCCTCCACCCAGCCTGGGCCTGGCTAGGAAGCCTCATCTTTAAACCTTTGCCCACAGCCGGCCCTGGCAGTACGTTCCTCCTCCCTATCTTTTGGCTGCACCTGGAGGCTGAGGGAAGCCACAGGCTCTCCAGGTGAATTCCGAGCCCTGTGGAGACAGTTCTCATCCTGGCTTCTGAAGAGAAAAGGGCCCTAAGCAGGATATAGTCAGGCATGCAGTCCTCAGGCTATGAAAATAGTTTGGATCCCAAGGATGGTCAAAACAGGTTCAAGGACCTTGGATTTCCTGGACCACTCTTTGAGAACTGCCTTCCTAGGAAATAATATTTAAAAATAAGTCTTGAAATATACTGTCATCAGGCTAAATATTATCTTAGTCACTGCATAGGGTAAAAAAGGAGAGCAAATGAAAGATATAGACATGCTTTTTAAAAATCAGTCCCCCATTCTACTAGTTGCTTAGGGTTTTTCTTTCTTTTCTTCCCCTATTTCTTCTTCTCCTTCTCCTCCCCACCATTTAGAAATCCCTTGTTGGGTCAGGCATGGTGGTCCATGCCTGTAACCCCAGCTACTTAGGAGACTTCCAGTGGAGGATTGCAAATTCAAACCCAATCTGGGAAACTTAGTGAAAGTCTGTCTCAAAATAAAAAGGGCTGAGGGTGTAGCTTAGTGCTAGAGCACCCCTGGATTTGGTCTCCAATTCTGGAGAAAGAAAATTCCTTGTTGTTCAATCAAAGATTTAAAGTAGTCTTCCAGTAAATCCATATTCTTGGTGACAGATACTATTTAAGTAGATGTTATTATTACCAGGAGTCCCTGGACCCCTCACTCTATCCTGAAAATTCTCCCCTATCAGCATCCAAGAGACCAATCCAAAATGTCTGTCATTAGCATATGGAATTTCAGCACAGGGAGAGGAGTGTGGATACCGTGGCCACTTCCTCCACAGCATGGACTCCCAGGACAGAGAGGAGCAGGATGGGAAAGTGCTGCAGGACCCTAGGCAGCAAGGTACAGGGTAAAGAGCAGCCACTCTTTCCTCTGATGCAAGATGTCCAAAGATACATTTATATAACAGTTTTATTTAGGGCCTGCCCTTGATCTGAGGTCCTTGTGTGTTTACACTAGACCACGGGTCTTTGAACCTGATCTCAAACCTCAGATGAAGGCTAAGGATGCGTTTGCAGTGCTGCACTCTAATTTAACAAGCCAGTCTAGATGGGAAAAACATCTACTGCAGGCAAAGTGGTCCAGGGTGCTGGTCAAGAGCATGGCCCCTTGCCCTTTGCTTACAAGGGGGGTAAACAGTATGAGGATGCTCCAGACAATATAACTGAGGTCAGACACAGAGTCTCAGACTGCAGGGGACACCGTGGGTCGCCTCTCTCCTGAAAACACCAGATCTCCATGTCTTGTCTCTCCCATCCTCTCAGCTTTGGGGACTCTGGCTAACTGCAATTAGGAACCCAGATGGCGTGGCTGTCAGTGTATTAGTAATTCACTGGAGATGGGTTTCAGCTCCCGTCATGTGCAAGGGTGGTTGCTTTGCTTGCTTGCCTGGAATGATCTTTTAAGTTTGGTGCATCTTTATCAAGACTAACATCTACCCAACTGGCTGTTCTGTTTGCTTGTTTGTTCAATTTTTGCTTTGGTGCTGGAGATTGAACTCAGGGTCTTTGTACTGATCTACATCTTTGTTTTTTGAGACAGGATCTTGCTAGGTTGCTTTGTTGCCTGGGATGGGCTGAAATATATGACCCTCCTGCCTGCGCCTCCCCAGAGTGCTAGGATTACAGGCACTCTGTACAGGCATTCTCACCCTGCGGACAGAGCACTGAGTGGCAGCGGTGGTTTACTTGGGGAAGGGCCTGTTTTGGTGTTTAGATTCTTGGGCCTGGATCGTCAGTGGTGAAGAGAACATGGAGCATGGCCCCTTCCTGCCTCAGGGAAGTGGGTGGCCTGGCAGATGCTGGTACCTGCTCTCTAGATCTGAGCAAAGCTCAGTGCAGCTCTGTCAGTGAGGACCTTGGGTACTGCAGCTACACTCTGTGAGTGAGGTGAGGGGTGATGTCTTCCTTCAGTAACTACTCGGCCTCCCTGGGAACACCCCTGCCACAGTGGGCACCAAGGCGAGACTCAGTAGGAGGTGCTGCCCTCTTGGCTGGTGTCCACGCTGCAGCCCTGAATGACCCCTCCAGCTTGCGCCATTGGTGCAGCTTTGCTATTCCTTTTAGATTGCCTCATCCTAAGGCTATATTTAGTTTCCTCAGCGTTTGAACATGCTCAGTAGTTAAATATGAACTCTAAAACGTCATCAGCCAGAAGCCTACTATTCCATTTAAAATATGCGGGGAAATGTACTCTCCCAGATGAATCACCTCAGTTTCTCAGCATCTCCTCATTACCCCTAATTCTTCAAAGTCCACGGGGAAAGCAGCTGAGCCAAGTCGGGCTGGTTCGAGGATGCCCTGGTCAGCGAGAGGATGCCGCCTTCTGCAGGTTTAGCTTCTGCCCTGGCAGCCTTGATGGTTTTCTGTTTATTTTACAATTAGTAGGAGAAGGAGATGCATGGGGATACTTTTGCCTGGGGGCCCAGCTTTTACATTTCAGAACATCTTCCCTTCCTCGAATTCCACGAGGAGGGTTTAAAAACAATATTTCTCACTGTTCTTTCCAACAATACTCTTCATAATAGTCCTGGGTAAGCCCATTACCTATGATCCTTCTGGAACTCAGCTCCCGAGTCCCTCCCTTTGCCCTTCTGCAGCCATTTGGTCCCTGATGGTCACTCCTGCCTATAGAATGTCCTTGACTTTGGCATTACCAAAAGCTGTGCTTCCTCCACAATCTCAGGGTCAAATGTCCTACTCTGTCACACTGACTCTTTCCACTCTGTCTTCTATCGCCAATGATTCTTCCACTCATGGGGACACATAAATCATTGCTCCTCCTACCTCTCACCACACCTGCAGGCCCTCACTGCCCTAGCTAGTGATTTAATGCTGACATCTGGTCCCTCGCTGCTGTCCCACCCATCATACACAATCAAATTCCTTTGACCCGTCTCTTCCTCCATTGTACCGTCTGACAAAGCCACAGCCGTGGCTCAGTCCTGCTCACCTGCTGTCTGCACCTGCCCTTGGGTACAGCTGTCAGTCTCACTTTAAAGTCAACTTCTCTACCTGTGTGTGGGTGCTTGGTGCTTGTCTGGCAAGCCTATGGTGTCTCCCTGCACCACTTATTATCTGCTACTTTCCAAGACAAAGATTTCACATTTTCTCACCCTTCCTCAAACCCTCAACACTTCCTCCCTCATCCTCACTCTTGAGTGATGGCTTCCCTGAGATAACAGAACAGCGGGCTGACAAGTCCCCCGTGTCTCTACCACTACTTCCATCTGTGCCCACCCACCTGCCTTCTCTCCCAACACAAAGGATGCATTTCTTAAGCACTCCATACTCAAAGTCCTGCTTTAGCTACCATCCTGGTTTTTACTTCCCCCTTTCTCTTGAACGCCCGTCCACCAGACCTTGGTTTCCACCACACCCAAAGTACTCTTAGCACTGTCCTTGTGACAGACACAGGCTGGACGTCTCAAACCTCTTCTTCCTGGGCTCACAACTAAGCAACATTTCCCAATTATTCTGCATCTAAATGAGGCCACATGGCTAGCTCTTTCCATAGGCAGCTGAGTGAGGGTGATGTCCTCATGCAGGCTGAAGCGTTGGAGCCTGGGTGTCCTTCTTCCACCTGAGCTGCTCCCTTTCCAGGGGGACCACGGAGGCCACACTGAAGATGGAGAGAGCTTGGGTACCCAAATCACCACATAGTGAGTCATCTGTCCAGGGCTTCAGTGCATGGCGATGAGACCAAGAAATAAGCTGCTTTCTGTGTTATTGACTGGGGGTTACTTGTGAGAGAAATAAGCCTGCTGTAATAAATTTACCAGTGCCTCTAAGTGTCTAAACCCTGTGCTTGCTTCAGCAGCACATATAACAAATTTCTAAATCCAACAGTAAGTTCTCAGTTAGTTTCACATATGATTGAGTAGCAGCATCTGGCAAAGTTGATCAGTGGTTCCTTCTTGAAAAATATTCTTCGCACACTCTCTAGGCCAGTAGCGGTGAACCCATGGCAGAAGTGCCGCAGGAGGCACACAGAGCCCCGTGTGGCACGTGAGCCAATTCGCTCCAGCAGTGTCCCAGTAGTCGAGTATCGGATAACAGTGCGCATAGGGGCAGCGTTGGCACTTTTCGATTAATAAGTGGGTTTTGGGTTGCAGTTTGGGCACTTGGTCTCTAAAAGTTTTGCCATTATTACTCTAGGCCTTTAAAAATTTTTACATTTTAATATCCTTCCTGTACACAATCACATTATCTTCCCTCTCCCCAGTATTGTCCTGATCACTCAGAATTAAAACCAAACATGATCAAGGTTCTCCTACCTGATGATGTCGTCTCATTCAACTCTCTCTTTGATTCAGTGCATCTCTGTAACTCTATCTGCTTTGCTGAAAGAAAGCGTGCTCTCATCCGGAATACACTCACCCAAA